CCATGTGCATGACTGGCAGTGCATTTGTTGGGCCAGATCTAAGGAGCCAGAAAGCGTTCAGCTCCTTTTTGCCTACAAAAGAGCAGCCAGACAACCAGCAAGAGGCCTTGGATGTAGCACAAGGTGATACTTACTTAGTCAGCCATTCTTTTTTTCAAATATATATTTTTTTTTCATTCAGTATACCAAGAGTTTCTCAATTTCACAATGACACAAGGAATTAAATTATCAATGGGTTGCTTTTCTACAGCCAGCATTCCTCACACCAGCAGTACTGTACCAAAAGAATTGTAGATTTTCCAGAACAACATAGATTACAATTTTTTTTTAAAGAAATAAAAAGTTGCTGGCTAGCATTTCTTTAAAAATTCCTCCTAGGTTTAAGGAGATGCTTTCCATTTTATAGCCACACAATCCCATTTTATTGTGAATATCGGGAGGTTTTTTTTCGTAAGAGGGATAGCTTTGTTAAGATATTTTTTGTGATTCTTGCAGTTTTAGACTATGGGCTACTTGTGTTTTCATTCTGTCTTGTCTTATTAGTCCACCAGTGCCATAGATCATAAGCCAATATCTGCTTCTTTATGAAAAGTGATTTGATGTATATTGTGATACACATTCACGAAAAAATGTTTTCAAGCTACATACAGTTTATTGGCAGTAAGGTAGCTGATGTAGACACCATGCAGAAGGCAGAAAATATCTATGATATTTGTCTGTCCTTGCTGACCACTTCCTACAATCTGACTAGCACAGAAATCCAAAGCCCACTAGTGCACTTTTATGTCGAGTGTTCCCTGGAAAGCAATTCATATTTTGCTCACTACCTGTGTATTTTGAGCTGTTCTGAAACTGTAGTGGAGACCAAACATGAATGTGGTCCCCAGGGTGATCAAAGATTTAATCTGACCAGATGGGACAAACTTGAGAAAGATTTTGACTTTCCACTCTGTTTTGCAACAAGAAAGGCTGATTTTTTTTCTCCCGTCCTTTCTTTGTTAGAAAAGGCAGAGATCAGGCCATCCCCAGAGAAATGAGCAGGTGTGGCCATTTACAAGCATGTCTGGTTATATTATAAACCAACATAAGAAAAGTTTGAAATGGTTTGAAAAGATCCGCTAAACAGTTTTAATGTTTCATCCCAAATCCTATTTACTCAGACAAGAGCCGATCAAGGTCACAGTAAAACCCAGCCTGCCAAAACCTTTAAAACTCGTGTAATTTTATTTTTTTTTATTTTTTATTCTGTCTACTAACTGAATAGGTACATTTTGGTAATCCTTGCCTCTGGACAAGCACAGAAGTCTTTTTCTTTCTGAATGGCTAATAACAGAGCCGTTCTTCCTGTCTCATGATGAAAGAGGTGGCAGTCAAGTTCTTTCTCTTAGATGTGCTGTGCACTCGAGGCAGACCACGGACAATTTTGAAACCTACAGCTATGGGAATCGCTCCCCCTCATAGGTACAGTTCTGGTTTAATTTTGTTGCTGTGGAGTATCACTAATTTACCACTTTTCTTTACCCTGTCTATAGACTGGGGGAAAAAAATTCTTTTTAAACATGAAATAAATGAAGCTCACAGGATTATATTTTTTTATAGCGAGAGGATAACACATTACCAGACTATTGGTGTAGACTCAGTTTGGATCTTCCCAAAATTCTGCCAAAGGATGACTGAAAATCCCTGGCAGAGGGTTTGGGTTGGGGTTTTTTTTCCGAAAACACAAAGATTGCAGGATTTTTAGTGATTTAAGAACATGGGTTTTAAACTCCGCCACTCTCAGTATCTTACTGAGTTGGTCAGCTCTCGGCTTCTGCCGCCACTGAGCAACATCGCCAGCTGCTTAATGATCTCGGAAACTGCCCCTCCAGTGTTTCCCATTCGAATCCACCTTCCCAAATCCACGACATCATTTTTGGCCAAAGTAATGTCAGTCATTGCCGTCTGCGGCGAGTACAAAAAGGACCCCCTAATGGCAGCCATTTTTATTTGTTTCTTAAGATCCAAAGGCTGCTGAAAGAACAATTGGATAAAGTTGAGGATTGGAGAAGCTTGATTTTCTTGTTCCAGTGAAATGAAACTCCCGTCCTTTTTTTCTTCCCCTTCCCCTTAAAAGCTGGAGTCTGCTAGGGGGTTGTAGCTGTGTCAAAGCCGTTGGGATGCCACTGCTGATCACTTTAATTACTAGGACTAAGGAGGATAAAATTAAAAGTAGCACCATTGAAGCAGTGGAAGAAAGCTTGCCGAGATGTCGGTGAACTGTGAAATATAAAAATTGCATACCAATACATTTTTATAGGAGGGAAACAAGGAATTACATTACTTATTCTTGAAGAGTTTGTCCTTAAATGGTGAAGTTTTCCTCGCTGTGCATCCGCATGGCAGATCTTTAGACCATTACAAAGTAATTGGGGGAAAATAACAGAGCAAACTTCAATGTCTCTTTGGCATGTCAGGTTCATGTCAGAGGGTGAAAGACTTTACTGAGTTTTCTCTTCAACTGTACAGGAAGAAAATCGCTGTACGTGTTTGCATGGTCCTTTCTTGGTGCAGAGCTTCTCTTCGTGTCTCCTCTCTTTTCTTTTTTTTTTTTAATATCTGTATTCCTGCCTCCATACTTATCCCCAGCACTTCCATTCCAAAATCTAGGTGATTGATTTGCTGTTTAATAATTGTTCTCTACCTCAAAACTTAATCTACCTACTTCTAACACTCTCCGTTTCATTGCTCCTTCCACCAGTGTTTCCTTTGCTAAGGAGGAACTGCTTGTAACTGTGGGTTCAAATACCTGAATTGAATTTAAGCAAGAACTAGCCTGTTTTTTCTCTTATCTGCTGGTGATGATTGGCTTAATCAGCACAAACACAAGCCACAGTAATCTGTGTTTGCTTGGAGATCCCCGGGATGTTAATGACTATGCTAATAATTCAGGATACAAGTTCTCTTGCAGGAGGAGGGGAGAAAAGGAGAGGGGGGAATCGGCCTGCTTAGATGGGGGCATTTTTGTCACAAACATGTAACTGGCCTTTTTTTAAACTATGTCTGCTGTAGTATATTAAATTGTTTGATGTTAAACCACATGGGAATCTTAACACAAATTTTGCACATTCCTTCTTAAAAGTCATTGAAGTCAAACCCACAAGTTCCTATATCCCGGGAATTACGAATAGTAGATTTGAGCAGTTTTATTTCATGTAAAATTCAATGTAATTAATGTTACCAAATACCACGGGTCGAAATAAAATCGGTTGCTGTGTCAGTTGGCTGGCTAGAAATTAAATTAAATTGATCTATTATAGTGCATAGGAGCGGGGGGGGGGGAGGTGGCGAGAAGCTTTCTAGTTGTCTCTTTAATGTGTACTTTACCAAATAAGTTTTTGATAGAACTGTTGCTCTGTGCCTTCTGGGAAGTTAAAGGGTGAGAAAGCAAACAAAGCCGATGTGCCATCCCGCTGCCTTGCAGGGCCCAGGCAGAATTGTCTTTCCAGGGGAAGGACATTAGGAGAAAAGTAAATCAAGGCAATCTGATAGGGAATCAGGGTTCTGTCACTCAGAGACAAGATATTGTGCTGTGTCCATATACTTTGTTTACTGTAGGGTTTTATGAGTTGTAACCTGCCCATGCAAGCTGTTAATGAGGCTAAATCTTGCTGCTGGAGGATTGAATTACAGCACACCTCTGGGCTAATGGTTATAAACAGAAAGTCCCATTAGGGCTGCATTCTGATTCAGTCATTTGCATTTTTTCCATTGTGCCGAGAACAATGCTGAGTAAATAGCTACAAACAAACAATTTACATGGAAATGGCTAAAATGTACCTAATTAGTATTTTGCACTTGTTTTATTAATAATTGCTTAAACTAAATAGCACTTAGCAGCAGCTCTCACCAGCATCTGCAGGTGTGAGATGCTCAGTTTCTGGGTTGGTGGGAAGGCTGCCAGGACAGCTCTCCAAAATTCAGCAGTTTGCAATATCCCACTTAGTTCGGGTCAACTGCCTGTACCTGGGTTTTATCCCGGTCATTATGTCAATAATACAAACTTACCGGCAGATTTGATTTAAAGCCAAACTGTGTTATGCTTGTGAGTGTTTCTAATACTGAGGGCAGGGGGGAAACAATCCTAACTTTGAAAAAATCATGTGGTTAAGGTGGAAACTGGAATTATTTCTATTATGTCTTAATGGGTTTTTATAGATACGTTTAAACACATCTTTTTATTAGGTTTTTTTTTCATAGGGTGGATTAGTCTTTTTCCAGAATTTTATGCTGTGAATCTTTGCTCATTTATGTAACTGAAATACTAGTGTGCTTCACAAGCTATAGTGGGGCAGCACTGTTTGGGATGGTTCCAATATGATCTCTTTAATTACTGACCAAAGCCCCACTAGTAAAATGTTTTAAAGCAATGCAAAGTCTTTTCTGCTCTGGCATCTATTGTTCTTTCATTAATCTTCTTCGGTTTGTTGGGGTTTTCTTTTAAAAGATGTATCCATTGAAGCCGAAGGATTAGATTTCTTTCCATGCCTCAGATTTGATGTCATTTTACACTTTGAAGTCAGCTTGATGACTGGAGTAACTGAGAGCAACATCTGACTTCTCATTTCAGTTCTATGAGAGAATATTACCCAAACAAGTCATTCAATTTAGTAAGACCATTTTTATAGCCACGATAAAACTTTTTGTAGTTACTACTTTGAGACAGAAGTGTCTGAGAATTTTCATCAAGTTATTTTTATATGAAATAATTTATAAATGTTTTAAATTGCAAATAGTTAGGTTCATAACACATTAATAATTTGGGGAATGTTTTTAAAAAATAATCTGATTCATGGATGTCTTTAAAAATTGTGGTGAGACACCTAACTGATATCGAGCATCCTATTTATAATGTGGGCCAAGCACCATGCTGTAAACCAGTTACTATCATGATGATCAGATTGAGAATGAAATTGCATTTCTGTCAATTACTGAGTTGGCAACTGTTCAATATATCTTAGCAGCAAGATGAAGAGCGGCGTCGGCAGCTGAGAGAGAGAGCTCGTCAGCTAATAGCAGAAGCTCGATCTGGAGTGAAGATGTCAGAACTTCCCAGCTACAGTGAAATGGCTGCAGAAAAGTTGAAAGAAAGGTCAAAGGCATCTGGAGGTGAGCTGAGGAACCTTGTATCTTATTCCTATGGCAACCTAGAAACCAGAGACCTTTTTGGGTATCACTTCTATTCACACTTCAAAACATTATTGTTCATCAGGTGCACATATCGAAAGACCTGGCTGTAGATATGTTTCCTAAATCACCGTTGTGATCACTTAATTTCCAACACTTCCAAGAAAAACATATATGTGATTGAAGAAGTAGATGCTATGAAGGCCCGTTATTTACAGATTTGTCATTACCCACAGTTTTGTAGAATTTTATGATTGTTGGTTAAGATCTTTTCGATATATATTTTTATATAGGAGTATGAATGTAATTTTGGGGAAAAACAACATTAGAAATGCTTAAGAATCATTATTTTATATTAAATGTGTTCAAAAGACTGCTTGAGAAGATAATTTTAGAGGCAGATCATGGGAGGTGGGGGCAACAACCTTTTGATTTTAATGGCAGTCTTTTGACATACCACTTGCCTTTACAGGTTTTGAGTTCTAATATTGATATAATGTTATTAAACTGACTTTGAAATGTCATTAAAATTCATATACCTGCCAGTGCTACAAGCTGGAGTAATGTAGTGTCACTCAAAATCAAATGGGTGCTAAGCACAAGTTTCAATACAGACTTCCGGCTCTTTTAGTGTCTTCTACATATTCTAAGGGCAAATTGTGTTTCTCATACTAACACATAAGCTAAAGAGAAAAGCAGACCCTTTGGGTCTGGTCTTCAGTTTTCTGCTCTTTGTCCAGCTTGCACACGTAACTCATTTTCATGGTAAAGAGGGAAATCACATCCTTGATGGGGAAGGAGTGAGGCTGAGCAAAATGACACAGTACTTGTATATTAAGTAGACTGTGGTGTTTTTCATCTCTCTTCACAATTTATAAAAAGACAATTACTCCCCCCTCACTATTTCATCATGCCTGTACATAGCTGTTGCTGCCATCTCTCCCCTCCAAGTAAGGTACACTTTCTGGGTATATCCTGAGTGCTCAGCTGAATAGTAGCTACCCTGTTTTGTCACAGTGACTCTTCATATTTTCCTCTGAATTTTGCCATTGCTTTTCCTGCCCTTTGTTCAGTTTATAAACAGACTCAGAGGTAACTGTGCATATATATATTAAAAAAAAATAAATATATATATATGTAGCATATACACTCAGAGACTTTCAGTGTTATTAAAGGAAAAGACAGTACTGATGACAACTTGTTTATAAAGGTATCAGCACTAGACCTGTGGGGTTTTACCCAATATAACAATTTCACTGCTTTTTGGTTTTGCATGTGCTTTGACTTATCTCCTTGGTTTATATTTCCTATGTTGTTTTTCCTTTGTTCATACAGTAGTTCAGCCAAGCTTTTGGAGCGTCTTTTGGACTGCCAGCCTGTCTCCTTTTATCCCTCTTTACTCTTCTCAAGTCAATGTGCATTTTATAGCACTTCCTTATACTTACTCATTCTTGGAACGTTTTCCTTATGGCCCATCTTCCATATACTTACGCCACACCACTGGCAATGTCAGGTGTCGTGCTATATCTCCACTCAAGGAATTTGTCCTTCTGAAGTGCAGCAGTTCTGTGAAACGGCACCAATGCTGTATAAACCAAGTAAATTATAATTATTTCTGGGTTTAGTCTCTTTCATTTTTTTATTTCCACCAAAACCTAAGATTTAATGGACAGTGTCCTTTTTACAACTGGATTCTGAATATTGCCCCTGACTACATTCACATGTGGTAGGTTTTTTCTGTGTGTAGTCCTGTATTCCCTGTACGATACCTAAGACAAGCGTATAGTAATATCTTATGTCTTCCCAGCTCTCTTGTCCGTTATGTTTCATTAATCTCTTTTTCTGCATTGATTGCTACCTTTTAATTTACAAAAAGGGAATGGGCCAAATCATTTTCCTCTCTCTCGGTTCAGTTATTCCACAAAAAAAGTGACATTTCAGCTTTGGGATTTGGTGTTTTTAAAGACTATCTTCTTGCTAACCATTGTGGGTGAAAATGTGATCTCTTTCAGTGTTTCTATATGTTCATTAAGAGTTCCATGCTTTGGCACTGGTGCTACATTCTCTATTAAAAGGCTTTATTTAATCATGGTCTGAAAAACTCAAATGCCTATGGCAAGTTGAAACTTTCCTGGATAAGCAGCATCCTTTGCTACAAAATCCAGTCTTTTTCATAGGCTATTTGGCAAGTGAGACAGAAAATACTTTTTCCTGCCAACTGCCAGAGGGTTTGGGATGGCAGCTTCAAATTTATTAGATGTCCTACTAGCTTCAGGCTGATAAGCGGATGGATGCCTTGAGATGGGTCCAGGGACAGTATTGAGATAGGAATCCAAATATCCTCCATTTTCCCAGCAGCGACGGGACAAATGAATTGACATCTTATCTAGGTATTGTCTCCGTGCAGTGGGACACCCGTCTACTCCTTTGGGATTTGGGTAGCATGCTTTCTTTACTCTTTGGCACATCTCCATCCTTCATTTAAGATGGCATCTTTGTAAGGTTGTGTCTTAGATCTGGAGGTGGTCAGTAGACAGCGGAGGGAGGAAACAAAGGAGAGGATAGAGGGGTGAGACAGACATAGTGTGAAGAAGCTTTGGTGTAAAAAGTGCCAGAAATAGGCAGAACTGGGAGGGGAGAAGAGGACAAACACAAGACAGCACAGCAAAGCGATGCTAGGGGAGCAGGGAGGGAAAACCACAGGAATAGGAGTATCCAAATGCAAGATAAAAAACAGATTTGAAAAATTTTGGAATTAATAACAAAAGCTGGAAAGGTGTACAGCAATTAAAAACTCACCAGCAAGCACCAGCTGGCATTACCCTGCACTTGTATGCTTAAAATTTTCAGGGTATGTTACAGATTCTACTTCAAAGGAATTATTTGGGGAAATGTACATGCTAGCTCAGGCTTACTTATTGTGCTTAGTCTCCAACTTATAAAACTGTGTGTAGTCCTCAGTGTCCTGACATTGGATTCGTGTATACTGATCTTAAGTCTTAAGATCCTGCATTTCTTCCATTCCCTGCCTTTGCTTCCTTTATTACTGTTCAGATGCTCCTGTAACATCCTGTAGACTAAAAATGAACTCCATACGTGAAAGTAAATAAACTCAATATCTGAATATTCACAAGCTTGAAGGATTTCCCAGAAACAATCCTGGAGGCTGGAGGCTTCTTCCCTAAAGAGCAAATACTGTTCATGCAACTCCAGTGGCAGTTTATATATGCTTCTCCCTCTAATGTGATCCAAACCCCATCAATACTTTTACCTTTCTATGCAAATAGTTCCTTTTTAATTTCATCTAGAAATTAATGCAGTCTACTGCAACTCCTTCACATGTGGACAAGCTTAAACCAACTCAAGAGAATATCAGTTTAACCACAAATTATGCCTGAGTTTAATCTGAATATTAAGACATAGGAGCTATAAAATGCCTCTGGATCTTTTTTGCACCAATATTCTGGCATCCCCATTTGGTTCCAAAAGATTCTTACTTTGCTCTCTTCAGTCCGGACTGCAGTTCAGGCTGTCTAGGCAATGGTCATTGCTGTTTAGTTGTTGACTTAATCCTTTTATCTTTAATTTTGTTTGTTTCTTCACAACATAGTAAAGCTTTGCTGTCTTAGTAGGATCCACGTTTCCATACTTTTCAAGGAAGCAGTTCTTTAGCACTCTTCTAAATTTGTGCCTTGGTTCTAGACCAAGTGCTTTAAGTTTTTCACACTAGTAATTTGTGCTTTTCGTAAAAGATATGTTATCTCTTCGTTACGTTGTTCCTTTTATAATTTCTAACTGCAAAATCTTGTTGTAACATGCTCCCTAAACACATTTCCCTTTTTAATACACTGGAAGAACATCGGACTGGAAAGAAAACCAACAAAATGTAGAGGACTGTAAAGCAAGGAATCTGTAGATTTTGAAAGATAGTTGAAAATTTCTGAAATTACTTCCAATGAATGCTTTTAATTGAATATTTATTTTTTTGTTTAATAAAGTGTAAATGTCCTGATAATCATATTCAGTCGAAGCCTGCCAACTTTAAATTAACTACTAGGTCAGGTCATTATTTGACACTAGGAACTGGTGTCTTCAACATTCCCATCTCTTTTGTTACCTAAAATGGTGGTGTCAAAGACAGGGCCTCTGGTCTCGCTACATTAAATTAAAGAAAATCAAATAATCTAATCTAAGCGTTCCCTTAGTATGCAGCAGTCTTAAACCCTGTCATCTTGTTTAGCTTGTTTTGACACATCCAGCATCCTGCTGGATGACTGGTAGTTGTGAGCTGACCTTGGGAGCTGACTCCTTTGGGTGCTTTGGAAAGTCGTTGTCTGCCTTTAGGCTTGAGGTGGATTTGGTTTCCCCAGCAGCAGCAGTGCCCTTCTTTCTTTCTCTTCCGCCTCTTCCAAATGTCCGTGGCCCTTTGCTGCTGTTAGCCCAGTCATTTTTTCAGTGTCACTGTGATCTCCAGGATGTCTTTGAGAGTACCATGGCCTGAGTGCCAATGAATTTCTCTGACACAATCACAAAATCATGTGAGAAGTCTGACTCCTCATTAGAAAAAGTAGAGATGCTTTGAAGAAAATTCAGAACTTCAGAATTGTTGCTGCTTTAGTGTTCTTTGTTTTCTCTTCAGCCTGCTTTTTACCCCATCCTTTCTCTATGACGATCACACCATGCCCTTCTACTTGGTGACCTACGTCTGCACTACCTGAAACAACTAGAGTCCAGATCACAGAACAATCTGTGTGAATTTAAGTGGGAACAAAAAGGATGTTGCAGAGAGTCCTGAGTGTTTCTGGCCATGCAGTTGTACACCTGAAGCACCATCTGTCAGGTCCCAGGTCTGGTCATGGATGCTGGTTTGGCTGGGGAGAGATGTTCTCCATCCATCTGGCTCAAGCTGGGGCAGTTTGGAAGAAAGCTGACTTTTCCAGGGACCATTGAGAATTAGTGGAGAGGAGCCCAGGGAAGTCATGGTGGCCAGCTGAAACGCAGGGGTCCTACTTCACACACTGCTGCTTCATCATACATGCAACAGATGTTGAACAGGACTGAAATGGAAGCTTCTTTGGTCCTGTCTGTCGCAGCAAGAACCTTACCCTCAATCAGCAGAGGTCTGTGAAAGACATTGATTAATTACAGAGGAATTGAGGGAGCAGCTGGTTAGAAAACAGTAGCAGACGTAGAAAACAGTCAACAGGCTCCTAAAATGGGAATTATAGGGGCTGTGGAGATAAAGAGGTAAAGAAAAGCACTGTGTGACCTTCATGTCAGCAGTGTGGGCCTGAAGTGCAAACTCAGGTCTGGGGATGAGGTTTGGTGTATTTCAATGACAGATAATGAGTGATCAGCACCAGTCCTGGTCCAAAGTTCCCCAACCTTCTGGTATTCAGGATTATGGCATCTTGGTACTATGTTTAGGATCCTTTTTGTTTATATGGCGTTCGAATGTACCAATGTCCTATAATTAGTATATTTTCCTATTGTGAAGTGTTTTAAAGTTTCTTTAGTTACTATGTGTCTTCTTTCTCTAGACACACTCCAGCCTTCTCTTTTTTGTCATTTTTACGTGCATGCGTGCATACATAGGGAAAAAATGTTCATATAAGTCTGAACAAGTGTAGATAGCATTTGATATGAGACTTAAAAGTGAGTAAAAACAATGCAGCTATGTGCTTTGAAAGTACTAATCTAGCTTTTATGGACTTTCATTATATATTTGTATTGAAAATGTGAGTCAGGATTTTTTCTGGGATCTGCTTCACAATTCAGCACTTGCTATTTGATCTTCTTCAGGTTACTTACTCTTTCTGTGCCATAATTTACCTACATCATCGTCATAATTGTAATTATAATAATCGCCTACTTCATAAAACATTATGGGGCTCATTTACAAGTGATATTCATAAGTTGCTCTGAGAAACTCGGTAGAAAGATCCCATTAAAAATATAAAGTATAATTACAATTATTATTTTACTTAAAATGTATGTAGCTTGCAAACAATGCTGATTCAAAGTGGTGCAGTAAGGGAGCATGCTCTGGCTACTACACCTGAGGTCAGCACTTGCTAATCATGATGTTCCAGGTGGTAGTTTTCCTCCTTCTATCAGACACTAGCACCTAAGCAAGGTACAGTGATCACTGTTCTGTGATATTTTGTGCAAAGTAAGGAGTAGCAAGTCTCACCAAGCTGGAAACTAAGTACCTGGAGCTGCTGCCTTTCCCAAGAGACCACAGCTCCCAGGTCCTTCAGCTGGCCAAACCCATCCAAACCTGCCATATGCTGGCATCGGCAACCATTCTGCTTTATAGAGAACTGAGAACCTAGGGGAAATTACTTTGACTTGAGTTATAAGGAAAAGCATGTGTGCTTTTCAGAGTTAGCCAGAGATTCAGCACAGAGAACAGCCACTGCTGAGGCCAGGCTCCACCTTTGTTGTAACAGGAGTTTCCAGCAGAGCCCCCTGTGTGTATATTGAATTGCATCAGTTTAAAGATAAATCCATGACTGGACAAAGTGAAATCTCCTTCCAGACTTATTTCATGATTTGCATTTTTATCATAACTCAGCTTGTTCTCTAAAGCATTCTTTTTTTTTTTTTTCTAGTGATGTGGTGCATGTACATAAGAAAATACTAACCTTAATACTGTATGTTCCTACAGATGAGGATGAGGATGATGATAATATTGAGATAGATACTAACGAGGAGGTTCCTGAATGCTCTGTTACTGGAGGTGGAGATGAGCTTACTAACCTAGAAAATGACCTTGATTCAACGGGTAATTTAAATAATGGCTATTTTGTGTTTTTTGCATGACTAACACTCCATCATTGTATAAGTACTGATGTGCTGCTTCTCTCTGTCATAGCTTTATTTCTTTATGTCTTTTCAAGTCTTTTAAACCCTAATGCTTATTCTTTTTGAATATTTTGCATTCATGTTTAGTTGAAATTGAGTATCAGCAGCAAAATCATTATTTCCAACAATGGCAGATTTAAATGTGTCTTGCTTGTTTGATGGGGAAAGGGACCCCAGGACAGATTTATAAAGCAGAGCCACCTGAAATCACCCTGCCTGGATTGTCCCAACAAAGCGAGGTAGGCAGAGGAGTGAGCAGTCGCCTTGGTGAGTACAGCTGCTGCTCTCTGCACTGACATCCTGGAATTATTTGACATCTGCTCAGTGAAGAGGAGCAAACATGGCTTTATGTGTCCATGTAGACTTGGTAACACTCCAGTTTCTTCCCAAGGACCAGTTCTTGTATTTATACCTTGTTGCCCCAGTGGGAGCATGGAGGTATAAATTTGAATGGAATTTTACTTGTTTACTTTATAATATTCAAACAACAGGGGTTTTAAATAACACATTTTAAAAGCATTCATATTCTTGTAGAAATGCTTGCATAATCAAATCACATGCTGGTCAGGTAATAAGTCATAGTAGTGGTATTTCCCCTTTCAAAAATAATCAAGCAGAACTGGAGTTCAGATGATAAATATGATGATAAATATGTCAGGATCTTACGAGGTAGATGCTTATTTTAAAAGAAGCTAGATCTTCAAAGACACGAAGGTAATTGCCCATCAGCAAGGGGCTCCTCTGCTTGCAGAGAGTTGCTGAAGGAGTTTGTTCTCTGTACCAGGCTGCATGTTACCAGCGGCCCTGGGGAGTGCTGAAGGCCTCTTTGTAGTGTGGTGAGCTTCTCTGCCAGGGCGTTTTTGCTTACTACAAGTCAGCTTGAGCCCAGAGAAGTGTGCTAGGCACATGACAGCATCAAGGAAAAAGGCAGTACAAGAGAGAACTTCTTTACAGCATACTCTGACTTGGTTCTGCCCATACCAGCTGGACCTATGTGTGTGGACCATAATATATTAAATCAAAACACTCCATTTAGTGTTTACTCCTTGTAAATTAAACTGTCAGTGATGTGTATATTGCACTTTCTAGTCTTCTTTGAACGTGAAAGATTTGAGTCATGTCCTTTTTTTTTTTTTTTACTTGAGGATTTCCAAACACATAAGAAAATATATTTAGTATTTCCAATATTTGAATTAAGCTGATTTAGAGCAGAATCCTATCAAATAGTTCTCCAGTTAATATGGGTTCATTTTAGGAGGAATAGAAAATCAGTAAATGAATATTCCTGTCACATCGCCCCAGTGACTTACCAACGTTTACTTCTGTGGGCCTTTTTTCCTGAGATGTCTTCTCAGGGGTACAAAACCCACTACCTAACACTTCATCTTCACCATGGGAAGACACTGGAGAAAAACTGGGACACCATTTTGCAGTTCAGTCTGCACAGCAGCCAGAGGTACAAACAAGTAAGGAAGAGGATGGGCAATAATGCAGAAAGCAATCTGATGCAGAAATCAGTGTACACAGATTTTGGTGGAATTCTGCCAATTCATACCAAGTTCTAATGAGGGCAGAATCTTCTGGGAGCACCTACACACAAAACTGTAAGGGACATTTTACATTTGGGATCATTATTGACCATCTTAATTAATTTGCCGACTGCTGGATCTTAGTTCCTCCCATATCTCTCAAGAAGAGAAAACCTTTTTTATTATTATTTTTACTGCCAGTTGTTGGTTTTAAATACTGTGTTTGTCTGTATTTGTCAGAACTTCTACCATACACTGCTGTGAATGTATCTGATAAAATGTGAACCTCTTATATCATAGTTATTACATGATGTTTATGTATAAACCCACGAGAATGTGCATGTACTTACATGTGAGCCTCAATTAAGGACACCCTGACTGGGTGTGCCAGAGGAAAGGGGAACTATCCTTCGTCATAACCCAACCCAGCCTGTCACTGCTGGTGGCAGGCATCATTTGATTGCCAGCATGCCAAAAAGATTTTGGCTAATATGAATCGGAGCACTCCAAACCTTGGAAGGAGCTGTGCGGCAAAACAGTTGTGGATCAACTTCCCATACCAGCTAGAAGTCACCAGCCCACAGTGAAAAACTCAGGCTGTGCCTATAGAAAAATGTCTAAACTGCTATTTTCTCTGTGTTTGACCCAAGGCCCTGATGTGATAGTGCATGTAAGGTATATGTGTGGGGGCTTCTGTGTGTTATTCTGCTTTCCTACTCAGGGTTAGCTCCGTAGATCTGCTCTGTGGTTTGTTATTAACACCTTTCTCCTTATTATGTGTGTACGTGTAGGTAACTGTGTGTGTAGGTGTGTTACAAATTCATATAGTCAACGATCACGTACAGAATGAGCATTATTGGGAGGTAAAATTCTCAACTATTATTTCTTTGGGCTCTGATTCAAGTTGCTAAAAGAGATAAAAAAAGTTTGGGGGCTTTGGCAGTCTTTGAATCTGTCCCATTGATGCAGTAATGAAGCGGTTTATGTCTCCCCCAGCTTCAACATATTCTATAAATCATAGTAAAGTATTACTGGAAATAGTCTCTTTTGATACTTGAGAAGCTGTGCCAAGGAGCCTTAGGATGAATTAGTGGTTCATAAACTTGAGAGGTTATCAATACATAGAATATGTGATAAATTATTATACATCATCTTAAAATATAGAGCTCTTTAAGTGTTTTTTTTTATACCAAAGTACGGGTATGTACAGATTGGGAGTAACATAAACTAAACATTTTCTGCTTTATGTAATTTTCATCGAATGTCTTCAAGTACATTTACCTTTTCAGCCGAGTGCTACATATATTTCTTGAGAAAACTTAGGAATTATCTGTGTACATTACACAAATCTACACCAATCCAAATCACAAAAAAATATCGTTTTCCTCCTAGTTTTTACTTCTTTAGCTTGAAATGATAGCAAAGTGAATTAAATCTACCTTTTAAATTGCTACATTGTTGTAGCGACTCTGCATTTAAATGCATCTCACTCTGTTGTATGTGGTATTTGCATATTTAGCAGAACAAAACAGTAAGTTGGTGGATTTGAAGCTGAAGAAGCTCCTAGAAGCTCAGCCACAGGTGGCAAATTCACTCTCCAGTGCTGCTCAGAAAGCTGTAACTGATAGCTCAGAGCAAGACATTAAGGTAAGTTTTGATTAATGCTTTTGTCTCAGTACCTGTGTGTTCCGATTTTGGGTTTGTACTTTGTGAGGAGGAAAATGATTTCTTATCAAATCCTTCACAGTAAGAAACGCAGAAAATCTTCATGGCAGTGCTGTTGCATAGTTTGTGATGCACTGGGTTGTTTTCCTGTTGATTAATCAACACTTTTCCTTTTTTTTTTCTGATCTTGATACTTGTAATTGGCATTACACTTACAAGAGTCGTCTCTCAGTTCTGACTGCTCTGTTCTGTAATTTAAATCAGAAATGCAGCACGGGCTGCATCCTGCTGCTGGTGCAATCAGCAGTGAGACTCTCCCTGACTTTGATATGAGCAGGATTGGACTCTCAGTGATGTGCTTCTTTCCCAAGCCTTGACCCTCTGTTTTTTCTCCATTGAAATTAAGCCGTGGTACACTTTAAAGGTGTACATACTTGGGTGCTTGACAACGAGTGCTTCTGAGAAAAATAGATATGATTATGTGGTGTATGTGGTCATTTTGCCTATTTTAATGTTCACCATTTCAGCATAAAGCGCACACCAATCAATATTCAATTTCATTTTCTTAATTAGACCCCTTGTGTTCTTACTATTATATATCTAAAAAAAAAAAAAATAGTCCCTGTATGTCATTAATATCCCTATGGCTCTGGGGCACTTCCAGTTGGGTATAACTTTTCACCCACCTGCAGTCTGTGGGGAAAGCACTGCTGACTGAAAGGATTTCCTTCCCCAGATACAGAGATGCTTTGAAGTCCCAAAACAATGACTTTCATTGCTTTTCCCTTACACTGTCGGTTCCTATAAATTGGTGATGAAAGTGTGTGGCAGCAGCAGAGGACTTTCGGTCTCTATCTTTGAACAAAAGGAAGCCTGGATCAAGTCTGATTTTTGCGTTCAATTTAGCTTTCTGCAGTGGATTTAATGCAAAATGAAGCTGGCCCAAGAATAATACAATGGATTGAAAAGGCTAACTGAATTAGTGGGCTTAGAGGAATACATTTGTAAAGTGGCAGAAGTCCCCAGTCATAAAAAGGTTTCTTAAAATGGGATTTACTGGCTAATCACACTGATATTTTAGCATGTTGCCAGGCCTAAAAAATTAGTCATGTTTGTTTATTTTGGTAAAGACTCTGGTTTAGGCTGTCAGATGGTTATTGTGCTAATAACAGGAAACAATCTTTTATTTAACTGGAATCATAACCACCCCATTAGTGCAGCTGAAAAGTCATCCAGGGGATATGAGCAATACTTCTTTTAAGCTTAATTCGACAAATGGCATAGGCCATCTCTTAGGGTAATTTGGTATCACCTAACCTGATGAAAATGGTATTTCTCTTTATAAAAAAAAGCTTCTGTGAAGGAGCTGGTTAATTTCTTTTTAAGGTGCTCCCACAAAAGGTGCAACTTAACAGTTTATCCCTGTGTGCGTCTTTCTAAGGAAGAGTTGGAAAGCGGCATTATAAGGAATATATGGTGTCCATCTGTTCTCATGGAGCTCTTGGCATTGAGGTGGATTTGTTTTTTAATAAAATGCAGTTTACACGTTTCTAAATGAGGCATTCTGTGTTTGTGGAAAAGGATAAACTGTTACCTTCCCTTGGGGATTGTGTATCCCCGGCCTCCTTGAGGCTAGAGAATAGGCCATTGGAGAACTCCCTCATTACCAATTGTCTCAATGCAGAGGAAGGGCAAAGTCTTGGTAGCTTTTGATAACCAGTTTCAGCATTCAGCAGGCTTAGCTATTAGTCATGCATCTTAGCCTTTCCCTATTTACTTTCAAAACACTTAATAAAAATAATAAAAGATTAGGTATAAAATGAAATATTTGTTTGGTACACAGCACCTCGGTATCTGCAGCTTCCACACACTGCGGTGGTTCAGTCTTCTGGGATATTTCGTGTTGATAGAATCATTTGAATTTGTTACCAGTATTAACATAGGAAGCTCTGGAAAAGATAATTGTAGTTTCCTTAGCTGTAAAGGGCTTACTTACAAATCTGGCTTTGGAAAGTTATAGCTGATGAAATGCAGTTCAGTGGGGTAGTATTATAATCCTACCTTTTAGCCTTCATCCAGCATTAGTGGTTTATCTCAATGGGCATAAAATTAGAAACTAGTTCTTCTTGTCATACAAGTCTGTGGGACTACAGAAAACGACAGATTTCTTTACCGGGCAGGGAGACAGGCTAAAGGCAACACGCTTTTAAAACGATACAGATCGTGTTCAGGGGTAGAGACGCCGCTACTTGGCAGCAGCACGCGCAGCGCTTGGCAAATCAAAGTTGCAAAGGAGTGATTGTGATTTTTTCCTTTAAAATCAGCATCTCTGGCAAATGTCCGTCACAATTAATAGGTCTGGCTGTTAAGTAAGTAGAGAGTCCTGCAGGAGGGTGCGCATGTAGCAAAAAAGCCAGGCGTTGCCTCCACACATTAAACAACAAAAAAAAAACAGGGAAAAGTTAATTAATCTTCTTTTTTTCCCGTAGCCGATACTTTCATCCTATATAAACCGCAGCCTGAGTTGTGTAAGCTACTCTGCAAAAGCTGTGTCCTGTCCCCTCACCAAAACGTACCTTTCGAATTCGTGTCTTCCCGTTTGTAAACAAAAGACACTGTGCGTGTCTGGGTTTTTTCCCTAGCAGAATGGAACAGAGGAACATCGTGCTGAGCGATTACAAAAAGCAGCAGAACGGTTTAGAAATCCTGTTGTGTTCAGCAAAGACTCTACCGTCAGAAAAACTCAGCTCCAGTCTTTCAGTCAGTATGTGGAGAGCAGACCAGGTAGGAGAAAATATAAAACCTGTTTTCCCATCTTATGATTTAATAATATTTAACAATAAATATATGAAAACCTGATAATGTAAGTCCACATTTCAATACATAAATATCAAGCTTTATAATAATTTTACATGTCTTTTCCCTTTTTTCAAGAGATGAAAAGGCAGAGATCAATACAGGAAGATACAAAGAGAGGAAATGAGGAGAAGGCTGCGATAACTGAGACTCAGAGGAAGCCATCAGAAGATGAAGTGCTTAATGTATATTAATTTTTTGTCTGGTTTCATGATTGCTGATAATTCCAAACTGTATGTGGAAATAGTGCCTTTATTTGTTAAAATGAGATGTTAGGTTTTTTTAGATGTCAATCTCCAGTGCATTCAAAGCGGAGTGAGAGGGGTGCACTGTTGAATTAGTCTGCAGTGTGGTGATAATTGTCAGATAAAAAAAATGAATTTTTCAGAGTTCCACAGCCCCAGCTTCCTTGAGACATTTCCATCAGGGCACTTCCCATAAAGAGATTCCAGTATTGATCTACCGGGAGGATTTTAATTATTACAATAGCAGATACCGCAGAGCTGCAGTTAGAGGGAAGAGTCACATGAGACCTGCTAGAATTTCTCAGCCAACCCATTTTGTTGGCTTGGGTTAATGGGTGTTCAACCTTTCCATTATCCAGATCAGCCGTGAATTACTAGCTGAATGATGTTTGCATTAATATAATATATATGGTAATTTCTTCACTTAATTAACGGGGAGGTTCAGCTCAGTAGGGGTATGGGCTGATCATGTGTAAAATTGATTTGTGAGGGAAATATTTGATAGACCGCAGGGAGAAAGCTGGTTTTGATGGACAGCTGCGGGACAGAAGCAGGAAGAACAAGTTTTAACCTGAATTTTTTTTGTCTGAAAAACACAACACAGCCTTTGATGGGGGTCATTTGTTGCTGTCCACAATTCATTTAAACGCATTTGTTGTTTTTGCTGAAGCAATCTAGAGCTTAGTAGTGATTTTGTACCACTGTCATATCTACACCAAAACATCAAACTTTGTACGAGCTGGAGTTATTTTTAGCCCAGTTGTACTTGTGCAGAGCTGAAAAGGTCTGGCACAGTAAGTTCACATTATATATGCAGATGATACACATGAACTCTTGGGATATTTCAGCCTGACACAGCATTTCTTTTCATCTTCTAATAACAATTGTTAACGATTATGCATGCTGACATTAGGGAAGTTTTCATACTATTTTCAATTAATTATAGTTGATGAAAGGTAATATACTGAACATCACCTCAGCTCCCCCGACTGATTTTCCTTTTTTGTTTTTTATGTCTTTTTTTCTTCAGGGGACTGCTCTCAGGGAGTTTTGTTGTTGTTTTTCTGGCTATATAGCACGTAGAAAAAGAGTTTCTATTAGAGCTGATACTGTTGGCTGTATTGTAGGAAGAGAAGGACTGAATTAATGGAGGCATAATGTATTTAAATTCAAATACCCCAAATTTCAAAGTTCTATACTCGTTACTGGTCCTGGGAGCTCAGCCATGCCATTAGCCTTCACTTTGAACATGCCTTTATTTGAAATAATATGCTGATGTGATTATTATACCTGTTGCCCGAATAAGAAGCTGAATTGATGATTTCAGGCACATTTACAGAAAAACAACTGAAAACATTTGGTGAAATATCTGAGACTGTTACACAGCAACAAGTTAGCCTCTGGTAGGGAAATAAGCCTCCTTAGAAAAGCCTGTATATTTTTCTGTTCCCAGAGGCTAGTGATTTTAGTTGCATCCTTTACAGAGTGCACCTGAAAGATGAAATAATTTTGCTAGGGTTTTTTTCCCAATTCAAACTATTCTCCAAGGGTCTGGGGCAGACGAAGGAGGAAGAAGTGGATGGAGTTGCTCAGGAGTAGGATGGGGTTTTTTCCCTAACTTATGCCAAAACATCCTTCAGGAATGACATTTCAGCACTGGATACAGCCCATAATAACTTGGTATAGCCAAAACACTGCGAAAGTTGTTGAGCCACAGGAGAATAACTTGGAGGTACTAAATGTCTGTCCTTGGGGTACTAGTGGGACAGCCAAACTACTTTGGAAATATTTGGAGATTTGTGTGGTCATCTGCAGGGCAATGCTGAAGTTATAGGGTACAAGAGGCAAACTTGACTCATTGGTGTTTCCATAGCTTTCTTGGTAAGGTTCAGTATGATTTATCAGCTTGGCATCCCAGGGCTGCCTACTGCCTGGGTGAGAGCCAGCACAGAGGCAAGACAGCTCGAGTTAGTCCCTGTGCACCTGAGCATCTGCCCAGTGCTGTTTGTCACCACTTCTCAGGATAAGAATCACAGTTAGAGTAATTAGTGGTATTTTTACAGATCACCATGTAGGAGGGCAATTGCCTGCAGTCAGAGAAACCCACAGAAGCATGAGCCCAGGCTGGTGAGCCTCCACGCTACAGTTGACCCAGAAGAGCTAACCAAGCCAGGGAGCTTGTTTTGAGTTTGGTTTTAATCTCAAAAGCCCACTTTTTAATTCTCATTAGAGACTCTCATGCTAGTTCTTCTAGCCCCTAAAGTTAGTGTTATAAAATTGAATAAGACCTAAATGGAGTAGAAATGGCATGTTAAATGGTGCTTTATGTGGATTACACTTCCTTTCATTATGCTTTGTTACAGCAGCTTTTATATACTTAGAAATAAATCAGAGGAATTTCAAAAAGCAGCAAGGTAGTAAAAAACCTGCAAAATCAAATGTTCCCTAAAGAAAAACCCGGGTGTTTTAATAAACAAATAAGAATGTTTGGCAAAATTGTGAAGTTTATGAAATGTAAGTGTTAGCTTTTTTGGTAGGGAGCATGATATTTGGTTGTTTAGGTAAGTGCCTTACGAAGTGTTTGTGGAAGGGAAAAATGCAACTTACAAGTGATGTTTTTTCTTCTTGTTTGTTCTCTTTAACAGAAAGGGTTCAAAGACACCAGTCAGTATGTTGTAGGAGAATTGGCAGCACTAGAGAATGAGCAAAAGCAAATTGACACCCGTGCCGCGCTGGTGGAGAAGCGCCTTCGCTATCTCATGGACACAGGTACGGTGCCCAATTACACTGTAAACAGTTTTGGCAAATTGAGCGTTCACAAACTCTTATAGAGTTTTGGAAGTGTGAATCTTTGAAGCCTGAATGTTCAGCAAAACTGCCTTGAAAATAAAAAGGCTGCGATTTGCAGCCACCTCTCTGGGCCCTGGTGATAAGAGTGCCTTCATGGGAAGTGATAACTTGCCCTGATACCGTGTGAGCCAGCACTATTGAACAGTGTGCTCATCCATGCAGAGTTGGAATACACATCTGTGCCTCATTGATATGCCACTGCTTAAAAAAAAAAAAAAAAAAAAAAGGAAAAAAAAAGGAAAAAAAAAAGGAAAAAACGTAAGATCTTCAGTGTTCTACTGATTCAGTGGGAAAAAAAAGATTTGGCCAGCTAAAGCCATGTACTGCATGAAACAGAGCACAGTACATGGGGGAAGGCTCCATTGACTAGATCACTGAAATTTGAGAATACTATCTGGTTACTGATGCTCCACATTTATTTTATTTATTTATTTTCAGAAGAGTAGGTTTTAAAAGTCTGTAATACTTGGTGTTGTAAGGTACAGTTGAAAGGATTAAAGTATATGGGCGATTTATTGTTAAAAGAGTGGTGGTTTTGACTTCGGCAGTGAATGGTAGGTGGATGTTAAGTGCTGATGGTCATCAGAAATGGACAGATTTAGTGCATCAGTTTGAAACAAATGGTGCTTTGATATTCAAAAATAAATAATATCATAGGTCCACAAACTGTTCTTCCTATCCCTTGGGAAAAACAGTTAGCTGGTCTAAATTACTTTGTGGATAAATTGTTTTTATAAGTTATATGTATACGTGGTGTTGTAAACTTGAAGACTGCCTCTAACTGAAACAGCTGATTTTAAAGTAGATTTGAATCCAGTGTTATGTTTTGAAACACAGACTTCAGTTGCAGTTCAGTACTTTGAAGTATGCTTGCCATATGCATCCAAATACTAGCGTGGTTTTTACATGTATTTACTTTCTTGTGTTCTCAGGTGGTTTGATTTTTTTTAAAATAGCTTCACAAAAGCACGTAACTCAGAAACTATTTCCGTCCTGGATGAATTCTTGTTTAATAGGACCTCTACGTGTTACTGTCCTTTGAAGTACTTTTTCAAATGCGTTACATGACCTTTAGTTATATAGCTAGAGAAAATGTGTGTATGTTATCCTGCTCTTTCTTGTGTACTTTGTTATACATGTAACGTATGTTCTGCACAAAAGAGCCAGTACAATGTTTCCAAGTCTTAAGGAACTCCAAATACTGCCTCTAGATATGTACAGAGTCATCAGCATAGCACTTAGGGATTTTTTAAACTCTAATAACTATGTTATTGCTTCATTTAGGTTGTTTATTTCATTTTTTAAAAATATTTCTGCTTTTTAATTTCTTGTATTTTGAAGTATGACAAAAGTTGTTGTATTCTTCATGTCATACACACGATGACGTGATGTTTCTTTTAAATATTCTGCATAAAATGCGGAGTCTAGCACACAGCTAGAGTGGCTTATACAGCGTAGCAATAAGGGTTGTAACAGGAATACTAATGAATACCTGCTGCTTCTTTTACTGGGGATAAGGGGAAAAGTGGTGCAGCCATAATAAAAAATTTACTTTGATACTCTTAATCACTTCCTGAGCATCCAGGGTTTAACTTAAAACAAATTATTTGACAAGTCCTTGGTAAAGATCCTACTTATGTTGCCATCTTAAAAGCACGATTTAGGAGAAAACATGTGAAAACTGTAGTTTCTTACCTACAGTTAACTTCATAGCCTTGAAAACAGGTATTCTCAAACTTCTCTAACTACGGTTCACATCTTAACAGAGAACCTATCTCGTGTACTATTTCCCCTGTCAATCAATATCCCATTTGTCATCAGACAACATCCCTTTGGCAGTGACTGCAATTGCTTACATGGAAAAGTAGTGTTAGGAGGGTTTGGTTGTTGGGGGTTTTTTAACAGTCCTTAATGTGATATAGTAGTGGAAAAAAATCTGTACATCATCTTTTGCTGTGCCTTAAAATGCTGTCTTGTCAGCTCTGTTTCTGCACCCCACGTGCAGTCCCCTTCTACTGGTTCCTCACCTGCCTAGCTTTCTTGCAGGCTCTTCTGCTTGCTTCTTCTCTCTTCCTCTCTGGAACCATCTATAGTTGCTGCAGAGGATCTGCTGTATCTCATGTTATTAGTGGTTCTTTTTCTCAGGATGGCACTTGTTTTTCTTCCCTACTTCTCTTCAGGAAGTAATTCCTAACACAGACAAATAAGCAGCTCGTGTCTCAGTCTTAGTCCTAGCTTCTTCTGTAAAGGTCTGGGCTGCTTCACCCGAGTGTCTGACTGTTTGAGAGAGAAATCTGGAAACAAAAAAGATGAGTCAACACCATATGACCTGCCAGCTTGCCACAGACCACCAGGTAGTCTGTAAAGCCAAGTTTGAAGGAAGAAAGTAACCACAGCCCGAGAGCTAGAAAAGCCCTGCAGGGCTGTTGATGATGATCTTGGGGCTTTGCAAATACTCCCCTAGGTGTTGGTACATACCAGAAAGATGAGAAATGTGAAATGCTGCCAGCTTTCAGAGTTGTGCTGAAAAGTCTTTTGATACTTGTTTTTTCTGGAAAAAAAAAATAAAAAGAAGGAGGAAGCAGGCTTTGGGAACCAGGAGATCATATGGGCAAGCACAGCTGAAAGATCCTGGAAACACAACATGAAGGACAAGAACCACAAGTGAGTTGGTTTTATAATTAACACTCTCTTATAAGCACATCTCTCTTTTAATTTCGTGCTGCTTGGGGAGAGCCTTAGGCGAGTAAGACTCTCTGCTGACCTTATTCCTCGACAGCTAAAGCAGGGTGCTGTGTTGGTAAAACTGTATGGGGAATGGCTTACACTGAATTGTCCTAACAAATATTTGCAGGATAATTGTCCCCACCAGCATAGGAGCACATTTTGTATTGGGATTTTCAGCTTTGTTTCCATGTGTGCCAAAACCATACAAGATAAGTGAAACAACTGGGAACTCACATCATGACTCGGTTATTGCCTTGAAATGAAATTCAAGAGGAAGGTAGAGTGTGGTCTGCTCATCCCCGTTGTGTCTGCTGGGGACTGGACCATCTTTTCTTTCACCACTGTGCTTGGCCCTGTTCTTTATTAGACTTTTACTAGGAGGAAAGCTCTCTCTCTTCCTTCTTATCCTCCTCCAGCACAAAATTGGGGGTGTTTTTTTCCACTGGGGAGGCTCTTTGCCACCTGGCAGCTCTTCATCCTCTGAGTTTGAGAGTCCTTTTTATTGCTCAGCCAGGAGGGATTTTTTTCAGGCTGCAGCTTGAATATCTGTTCTGGCTACATTCATTTCACAGGAAAAGACTTCATCTCCTCTCACATGTATCAAGGCATTAAAGCAGGTGGGAATTTCCTTACTATGGGCTAGTGGTAAGACCAGAAAGATTCAGCTACTAACCTCTGGACAGTGCAGAGTTTGGTAAATGTGAAAGAGTTCATAGGTTTCACCAAAAGGGAAGGAGCTGTAGGTATAGGCAATGTATGTTCTTGGTTAGATTCCAGCTCATGGCACTGTTTGACTTTGTTAGACACTCCGCTTACTTTTTATTGAAAGTTTCTGGCACTTACGATTGCAAGTAAGAGTTTAAGAATGCCACTCTAGCTTTACTAGGGCCACAGTAGCTATGAGGAGCCACAAGGAATGGATCTTAGGAGTTCTCTGTGCCCCATACCCTTTCTGCCATGGACCAGAAGAAGAGGTGTAACCGACGCAATGCTCTCTAGTCCAGTCCCTAGGCTGCAACCTAGGTTGTGGAGGTATCCCTTCCACTGCTGCCCTTGCATTTTCTGTCCTGCATGAGGAAAAGGGCATCTAATGGAAGTAGGGCTGCAGGAAGAGAGCGCAGGCCCTCATCTGCACATGCATTGCTACTTTCCGGCCCTGAAAAACAGCCTTTTTTGGCTGGGGAAGCCAAGATTCTGGCTCTTGGCCAAAGGGGAGCTGATGTTTTCAAAGTTTGTCAGCCAGGCAAAGACTTTGGAACTGGCTGAAGCCTTGCATTTCCAGTGCCAGCTGCTCATGATTTGACTAGAATCACTTTTCTAAGATGTGTGAAAAAATAAAAGTTATTAAAATCTTTGGGTTGCTGATTTCTATTGCAATCTGAATAGTCACACTTTTATTAATATCCCGTAATTTATGTCACTGGCGGCGTAACCTCAGTCCTTGGTCTTTGCACTTAAAATGAAAATGTAATCTCACCTTGTTCCAGTGAAATGTAGTTTACTGGTACATTGCAAAACTGTGAACAGAATCAGTGCTTCAGTGCCTTGAACTCTGTAGAATAAGCTGGTGGCACATTTGCTATCACTGTCTGGATATATGTAAGAGCTACCCATATGGACGGGGTTTTGTAGCATACACCATATGAAATACAGTGCCACAAAAGATTTGGTGGATGCAAGTGTTTAGAGAAAACACAGCACAGAGGTTCAAAGAAGAGGAATTAGTTGTGTGTATAAAAATCACATAATCTAATATAATTCATTTCTTTTCTTTATTATAATGGCTTGACACTAAATGGTGACAGAGGTAGGATTATCTTGCTTTCTTCAGGATTGTACTTACCCATGTGCCTAACCTGTTGTGGATAAAAAAGTTTTGTCTCTACTGTGGCAGTATCTTCCTCCAGTACAAATTTTTCTGTCATTGTATTTTAAAGTGTCTATCATCTTGATATCCAAATGCCAATTAAAATGCAGAATTATCACATAATACAATTAAAATAAAAAACAAAGAAGCCTAGTTTACAAATTTCTAATCTAAATTTAGCTCTTTTTCAGTCACTATTTCTTCACTAATTGCAAAAACAACTATTTGGAGAAAAAAAAAAAAGAATACAGCTATCAGATATTTTGTTATCTGACCACAGGGTATGAAGTGGTTTTAATTGTTTTTTTCTGATTAACTGCAAGCT